ATTTTTATTCGGGAGATTATAATAATCCTTACAGATAGACTGTAATTCAAGAACATGTAAATCATTGAACGTAGTTATCAGAAATTATATAGTATTTTTCACATCAGAGTAGATAATAATTTGCTTTATTATAAATAATTAAACTAACAAGATCGTACTTTTTCCTAACTTTCTCTCTCTTTAACTATTATTTATTCTCTCACTCGATATACTTCGTGATATACATAAATGCCGATCTTGTTCCCTATGAAAATGCATAAATGCGTCAATGTATAAGAAAGATAAAGGACAGAAGGGCTCATTAATATTTCAATATCGGAACTAGAAAATAAAAAGAAAATGTTTCCGTTAAAACTTAAATATGATGCCGCGAAGAGAATGATTACGTAAATACGAGAAGTCGTGAAATATTAAAATGCAAAAGTATGAGTTTGATCGTTAGGATGATTAAAAAAAAAAATAAATGAAGGGAAGGAGACGAATAATAATAATAATAATAATAATAATAATAATAAGAATAAGAATTGATTGTTTGGAACGTTTTAACAATATCACATGTCTTCGACAATATCGTGACAATTCTTATTATCTGTTATCATGAAAGAGAGATCACATAATCACAATTATTCATTCAATGTAGCTAATTATTGTAACTATTATGTATTCGAGTGTCATTAGAACTTTTAACATGTTGATTGCCGCGCGTTAATGCATAAAATTATTTATGCATGTTCTATATGTCATTATTTTCGTCAAACTTTTATAAAAACAATGGTATTAATTAAAAATTTATCAGTAACGATATTTATTCTAATTACGTATTTTTACTATCTGGTGTGTGTGTTGAGGTCTACCTACACGCCAGTCAATGTGTTAATTGTGCGCTAAATATAATGGGAATCATTATTTAACTATAATATCGTTAATTTTTTTTCATTTTCTATGATCTTTCTCTGATGCTTTTATACTTTCTTATTTTCTTTCCTAAATTTTACGAGAAAAAAATGGATAATGCAATAAAAAACATTTATATGATTTATATATTTTTTCTTTTTGGTATAACAATGATTTTAAGAAATTAATTGTTTACTAATTAACTAAACCGTAGTTCGTTAAAATCGTTTGTACAATTGTAAGTGTTATTCATTCATCGTTCATTGGATGTTTGTTGAACTTTCGCATTGTTTTCGTTTGATTAGTTGAAAATCTATTAAGAACTAATTGTAAGGGTAGAATGATACGTCAAAAAGCAATGGGTTTATAAGCGCTTGTTTATTTAACACTCTGTTTATTTCATGTTATGGTACTACGTATTTTCAAGTATGTACGTAAATGGTACGTGTGTTTTCGACAATCATAAAATGTATAATATACATGCACATCGGATTAATTTAAACTATTTGTTAATCCAATGTCGAAGTATTAATTGGAAATTTATATGTGAAGTTTTTATTTTTGTCTTTTATAGAAAATCCAACATGAGGGCTGAATTTTGCTTGAGAACCAGTACTCTTCTACTCATCTTCGGCATCGTTTGCGCAGTGGAAAATTATATGGATTATGCAGGTACGAATGTACAATTATTAATCATATTTCTTAACAGCGTATTTATTTTGTCACAGAAATGTTAAATAAAATTCGGAATAGGACGAAAATGTAACTCGTTGTAAATGCAAATTCTATTAATTGTAAGAAGCTTTTACATAAGCTGCTTTAATAAATATTATATAGTCAAAAGTTGAAACATTTTATATCTGAACATTTAATTAGGAGAATTATTGGAAAAAAAATGTGCGTAGCTCCCACGCTTGATAGAAATGAAACTCGTATTATAATGTGGACAATAATAAATTCATTCATATATATAGTGGGTGTTCTTTTAAATCGTGTAATGTTACGTTTATTAAATTTTCTGTTGAAAACTATTTATATAGTGCGTTTAGTATGAAGAAAATATAGAAATAAATACATTATTTATACCGCAATTACATATTTAGTGAATTTAACTTGAAAGCTTTAATTATAACAAGTTAATTAAACAATTTTCTTTACATTTTTTTGTTACCATCGTTTAAGAAATTTTACCTTAAATAACATAACAAAAAAATGCACGTTAAAATTATTTTTGAATATATACCAATTTAATAATAAGTAATTAAAAAGTATTCTCGTATTCCATAAGGTAGCATAATTTTTATAAAATCAAATTAATCAGTAATACGAGTGACAGAATAATCATGTGATGTTATAAATGAAAGAAAAAAAAAAAAAATCATGTATTTATTTTTTCTATCCCTCAACGTGATGGAATTGAAGTATTCGTTTACAAAAGTTAACGTTTTAACTACCTACGCGAAACGCACAATGGTTTTAATAAAATCGTTGAACCGTTTGAAAAATGAAAGAGAGTTACGCCAGTTTTCAGTCATTGATGCTTCCGTCCATTCGAATTTTGAATTCCTAGTATAAATGGATACCATAGAAATTTTTATTTGTATTTTTATTCGATATACCTATTATCATTCTCTTTTTCTTTCTATTTTTCCTTTTTACCTTTGTTTCTATTGATACATATTTCAACCTACCAACATATTTTTCGTTTGATCGTTCTTTTAAATTTATCGATGCTTTTGTAATTTATTATACTATTATTTTCGATTAATCATTATTTTTTATTGTTCTTATTTTGATATTTGATTGAGCTAAATATCGATCAAAAGAAACTGATATCTTTTCCAAACACAGAGAATAGAAACAATTTTTTTTAGATTATTTGATAGTGCATAAAAAAAAATACATTTTACAAAATATTAATAGATAATGTTATGGGGTAACATGACTTATTTTGGTCGCATCTGTGAAAGTGTTCCTTATGATAAAGCATCTTACTCTATCATCAATTATTTTAGGACTGAGTATACGATATTAGGGAAGAACCCTTGCCCTTGACATTAACGATAATGGAATCTGATACCTGGTCTCCTATTAATTGAAGAATACAATGTTAATCAGTCGAAAAGATACGCCCAAATTATGAAAATAAATAAAATCGTTGTTAAATGATTTAAAACGATAGTATTAAATTCAAACGCTGAAAATATAAATATGAATTCACGTATATGTAAAAATGTATTCGAATATTCATAATATTGTATAAATTACAATCGTTCGGAGATATAAAATATTTTCGAAATAAAACATTTATCATTTTTTTTTTCTTTCTTTTGCTTTTTTAATTACGACTGGAATGTGTGCTAATCTCAAAATATTATAATATAATAAATAATAGATAAATACTAGTAGTGTTCTAACTTGGATAATAATTGACTATAGAAAACGAAACGGAGTTAATGTTTTATTATTTTCAATACTTTGGTTTTAATTGTAACAAAACATTAGATTTTTTTATTTGATTGTAATTAAATTATAATTAAATTATAATTAAATTTTTATATGATTTTAATTTGGAAGAACATCGAAGTAAGTTTTCTTAAATCAAATCTACCTATCATATATGTATATATTTATGAACATACTTCGTTATTTATCGTTTCTACGTATATTTCGTATCTTGAATAATGCCTTGGTCTTTATTAGAAAAATATCAATCCCAAATAAAACGGAGAACGTTACTTATCGTAAAAAAAACAATTTTAACGACTCACGCATTACCTTTGCGCTTCGTTTTCATACGATAAAATTATTCAACGTCGTAAAAATGCGTCATAATAATATTTCGCGACGTTAAAAATATTATCATTTTCTCTACTTTTTATGCAAAAAGAAAAAAAAAATCGAAAAGTTTAACAAAACGCGTTAGTTTTAATAACAAAAAAAACTTGCTCCTGGCGAATTATCTCAATTTTTTATGTCAATCATTTTTCTTATTCCCCACTTTTTTTTTCTATTTAATATAAATAATAATTATAAAAGAATATCTATCGTTATTCGCGTTAAACGTAGACGGACGTGTGTGATCACAGATCTTCAAAAAAAGAAAAAAAAGAAAATCACGAATGAATTTTTCAAATAACGTTCTGATAACCAATGAATTCATTGTTTTATTAACGTTTTTATATTATTGTACTTTTTTTTGCTTTTTTTTTTATAGACGAGTCGCCAGACAAATCACCAACCGAGAATATTCACCAGCTTTACAGACTCATCTTGCAACGGAATGCCATGGAAAATGGCGGGTTTGGTGAAATTCCATTGGAACATTTGATGATTCGTAAATCGCAACGATCACCGTCTCTGCGTTTACGATTTGGACGTTCCGGTTCACCTCACGTTTCAGTAAGTTAATTATTATTACAACGAAGATAATAAGATTTCATGAAAATCATCATTGTCAATTTAATCCCAAAAAAGATTAAAACATACAGGGTGTTCACCTAGAAAAAAAACTAATAATATCAGATAATATGCCAACTTGAACCATTCTACTTTTGTGTAACATATTTTTTTCTATCATCTTCAAGTTGATCGATTTAAATGGTACATCCTGTACAAATACATATATGTATTTTTTGTTCTCCTATCTTTTCTTTTATATTTTTTTTTTTTTATTTTCGTTGAGGTATGTAACACGAAGATCGAGATTCTGTTTTGTGATCGGTGAACTGTACGAATTAATATTATCAAAGGCACACAAGATAAAGTCTTGAATGAATTTCTTTTGAGACAGTATCTTCGATATTAAAAAATATAATATTATATATATGTATATTTCTGCACAGATATTGTATTATATGTCCTTATTTCAATTCATAACTTATTTACGTATTATATGCAGGACGTTTAAAAAATATGTTAGCATAACTTTACGATTGGTTTCAATCTTTCAAATAAGGAAAAAGAATACCGAAAAAAAAGTTCGTACGGGGAAATATTATTTCCGATATTGACCTTGTTACCGAAATGATACCATCCTTTATATATTTTGCGTTATTTTTAAATTTATTCTATATAGAATATAGATGTCTAATATCATTATAAAAACATTTTCAAAATATGAAGTAAAGAGAAATACTTTCATTCGTTTATAATTTAATCGTTTATATCGCAGAAATATACGAATTCGTCGTAAATCAATTTGACTAAAGGTCATTTTCTTAAATATAAGTAAAAAATTACAAATATACGAAATGTTTCATAATACGTAGGAGTAAAAAGGTGTTGCATATCGGTTAAATTTTTAGTATGCCAGGTGACATGTACAAATTCGCAAAACAGCAGCAACAGTAAGAGAGTGACAAGACGCATTACTTAAATTTTTGTATCTATTGGTATATATATATATATAACTTACATACAAATAGACATATAGAAAAATAAAGTGGTTACGAGGGGTTATCGATCGTTCGCAAAGTGACACGTCTTTGAGAAATAACTTTTTGAAGGAAACAACCTAGCAATTTCCAGTCTGTCGCTTACGATCCTTCGAAATTTTTTATATAAATAGAGACACATCATAGATACCCGTATCTATAGTTAGATCGGAGCAAAGAAATGAAAATAATAATGGAAGAGAGAAAAGAAAAAGAAAGAAGTACTAAAACAAAAAAAAAGAAATATAATATATATAAATATATATAAAATAAAGAGATATATATGAAGTAAAAAAAAAAAATGCATATTGTTAGGAAAAAGACAAATTCTTATCGTCGGTAACGTTTATTGTGAAAAATATGCGTAAGCGAATCCGAAGAAGAAGACTTATGAATTATGGTGACTTGCAACGAGGTAATATATCGACTCTTACATACTACGAGACAAATATCTAACCGTGGAAAAATATATTCCTTTTTTTTTTCCTCTCTCTTTCTCTCTTTCTTTTTTATTTTTTTCTTCTTCTTTAGTACAGCAAGATGATGATACCCAAACAGGTGAGATGGTTTCATAAGATAGAAAGAAACTCACTCCCCCACGCGTTACGATATAAATTTATTTTAATAAATTTATCTTATCTTCCTTCAATGGAGAGAAAACCAATTGGCTTGCTTTTTATGATGTTTTCTTTTTTACTTTCTCCTCTACTCTCTTTTGCTATTTTTTCTTCTTTCATCAATCCCTTCTTCTATTTTCTCTTTTTTCGTTAAGTTGACACGAAAAGCAGTCATCTCATCAAACAGCTCTTCTTCTCTGATCAAAGCATGGCTTCTCGATAGTCTAAGATTGTCCTCAATTTCTTGTATCTTCCCTTCCATCCAATAATGGGGGTATATTCATCTCTCTCTCTCTCTCTCTTCTACAACGATTCGTTTCTATGCGTTTATCTTCTGCCAATTTCCTATTCATTCACTCGAATCAATGAAAATCACAGACTTAACACGCGTGTAGAGATTTATACTACATATTTTTTTATTTTTATTTTTCTTGTTTTTTTTTCTTCAAGACAATTTTTGTACTTTTTATACTTCAATCCAATGTTAATAATATATATATATATATATATAAGTGTTATATAATTATAATTAATATATATTATAATTATTATAATTAATAAAGTATTTCATAGGGCAAGAGTGTTCAACTACTCTTTCATGAGTTTATAGTTCTCTATAGAACTTTTTCTTTCTCTACTCTTTTTTATCTTGTATCTTTCATCTTTATTTCATTATTTCTTGATGACATTATCACTCCGAGAATATTGAGTATCTTTCGGAAGCGCGTTAATTGATATTTAAAAGGTTGAGAATAAATTTTTTTCCAAACGAATAAATATCTCGTTCGTTATATTCGAAGATAAGAGTACGAATATGTCATTGATTCGATGCGATACAATTAATTCGTATTGGACGTGATTGTTAATCGATGCGTTAAATCGTTTTGTACGAGAAGAGGGAGAGAGAGAGAGAGACAGAGATAAAGAGAAAAGGAAAGACAAAAAAAAAACATAATGATACCTAATTAAAAGAATATTTTCCCAATGGAATTATTAATTAAGGTCATATCTTAATAATTTCTTTTTTTTCTGTGCTCTTTTTTTGTTTCAGACGGGTTTACTCTCGAAGCCGATGGCCGCGGTAGCGACGGGTTTCGAGGATAACAATTAATAAAGAAAACGGATTAAATTATTTTTTTTTTGTTCCTTTGCGATAATAACACATCATTTTCCAATATTTCTCATACATATTAAATCAAATAAGAAACTTGTGTCGTACATATTATATTTAAGATAAGAACAAAATGTGTAAAACATCTTCCTAAATTAATCGAAACTAATTGATTATTATTTTAGTTACCCTTCATTAGTAGTAACATCGATGTTCTCTCTTTAACCAAGGCTAAAAAAGAAAAAGTCATTTGAACAACAGTAACAAGAACAATCATTTGAAAATTTGATCAGGATCATTTATTTTCTTTTTATTGTTAAACTAGAAAAATAATGAATGTAAAATATATTGAATTGACAGATGTAACGCGTTATTTTAAGTTATCTATTTTGATTAATCGACGATTATAAAACTATGAATTACGTTAGATAAGAGGAGGATGATTGTCGTTACTACGTAGAAATTATTTACATTGTGTTGCATACTTTATATATATATATAAATACATAATCGTCTCAATATGTACTGCTTGTTTTATGTATTGAAAAAAATGAAGGCTTAAAAAGAAAATCGAAATAACGAATCCTGGCTTCTGGGTCTAAACGTTTAAAAGAAAAACTATAATATCTTTATGTAATAACTTTTCGCAATCTCTAACTTTAATTCTCGATTGAGAAAGAATTTGCAAAATAAAATCTAAATAAATGTTCTATCACGAATTTATCCTATTCCGACATTTAATTCGATCTGTAATATTTCGAAGAACGTTTATTAAAAAAAAAATGAATTTGAATTAACGAATGTGAAAAAAAAAGAAAAAAGAAATCTAAAATGTATGTTATGTGCCAAAAAAATGAAATATAATACTGTACCAAAAATAGAGAAGAATGAATAAAGGTTTAATCGGTGTTTGAATTAATTTCAAAAACAGCAGTAACATGTTGGTAATCATAATTTTAAGTTTATTTTCTAATTGTAAGATATAGCAACGTCTTTCCAGAATTATACGACGTTATAGTAGTGATATATTCGAAAAAAAAATGAAAAAAGAATCTAGTTATCGTCAAAGATTCAAATTCTATATGATAATAAACAACTTGAAAATACGAAGCAAAAAAAAAAAGAAAAAAAAAAAAATGTTTCAGAGTGTTTTTTTTTTTTTAATAACTCCTCGATCGAAATTATTTCAATATAAATAAAATATTAATTAATCAATTGAATTATATATACAATATATACATCGTTCAATCATTTCTACTTTACTTAAAAATGTATTTAAAGAGTAATGTGAAGTAAATAAGACGACGAATATAAATGAAATCATTTTTCTCAATTCCCTAAGGAAATTTGGTTGTTTTATTTAAAACGAGCAGATCTTACGGAAGAGCAAATCCGTTTAATCGAATTGACCACTTCTCTTTCCTCCTGTGAAAGTTCCCCAATGTTCTTAAATTCTGGACGAGCGAGGATTTGGCTACGAGCTCGTTCCAAGCTCACGGATAATGGCATTGTCAATACTTTTTTCCAATTCGTTGACTCGTAATTAGTTAAAAACTGAAAGTAACAAAGATTTACGTTGGCACCGTAAGAAATACCACAAGGGAACTTTCGTTTCGTCTTTTTTTAATTTCGATGAATAAATTTCAGCTTCGAACAAAAAATAATATAATATAATATAATAACAAAAGAAAAAAAGAAATCTCTCGTTCTCTTATAAACGCGGAGTGTGCGTGTGTGTGTTTCGAAAAACAAATAATTGATTGAAAAAGTTTTTTACTAACGAGCAAAATTCTAACTTTGATTTATATATATTAAAGGTAATTAATTTCATAAATATGTGTCGTTTTATTGTTAAAAAAAGAAAAAAAACAAGAAAGAAAATCTCTTTAACAATCTCTTGTCTACGAGACTTATTTATAATATTATTAAGAGAATATTTGTATTGACTAATTTTAAAACGATATCAGTATGATGTGTTAAAATATAATAACATGCACCCTCTGATTATAATTCTTGTCCTCTCATGCAACTAATCAGTATATCATCTCGCCTTTTACTATTCGCACGAGTGATCTACCTACCTGATCAAAATCTGTATCTTCGATGTGGAACATGATATGGGTTAGCGGTTTTGCCTTCAATGGAATTTCGGAGAAATCGATTAAATCCGGTTGTGCGTAACTCCCTCCGTTTCTCAGCCCGTTCAGCACCCAATCGGAAGCACATAATAGATACTCGTGTGTTATCTGTATGATAAACAAGAAAAAAATACAAAAAAAAAAAAAGAAACTCTACTATATTACTGCATAAAGGAAATTGATAAGGGTGGGGAGGGTGGTAAATATACTGGAACTTAAACTAACTTTTAAAGATTGTCTTCCTGTTTTGGTGAGCAACAATTCGTCGGTGTAAGTTTCTATGATGCGTGTCATATTTTTTAATTTATCGCATCTTGGATTTTGATCCACTGCTTTAACGCTGTATGTTCAATTATTATTATTATTATTATTTGATAATATTAGGGTGAATGAAAAGTACGTGCATTTATTGTTTTGAAACTTTACTTTGAAACTGCATAATGGATTGGTTTTTTGTAAACTTTACTTTGGAAATATTCATTTAAAAACGCACCAACTTTTGGTTTACCCTAACAATTATTCTATACTTATTTCGTTTATATTTACTTGTCTTCGATGGTTTGCGAAAAATAATCTATTTGTGCCGTGTGTTTGTTATCCTCGTCTATGCTACAAATTGCTTCGGCCAATGCATTTGATGCAGCAATTTTATCGTGAGGATTAAATGAGCCTGACTCCAAATTGACGTCTATCGAAACTGTACTACTTTGTACATCCGTTGGATTATTAGCTGCTATTTCGAGAAACCTGGAATAAAGGGCAGCGGAAAATATTTGTAAAAGTACGGAATTACCCAATGGATGACAACGAGCTGGTACATTGTTGTTAAGTGCGAGCGCTGTTCGCAAAATTGCTATTGGCGTGGTCATGTGCAATTCGGTAAAACAAGCTAATGCCAGAGACATAGCTTGATACATGCTTGCTCCTGTCTGTTTAAAAATGATACATATTTTAGGCTCGTATTTATTAAGATATTATTAATAATAATAATAATAATAATAATAATAATAATAATAATAATAATAATATTAGGGTAAACTCCAAAATATCGTGCATTTATTGTGTTATAAACTGCATAATGGATTGTTTTTGTAAAATTTATTTTGGAAACATGAATTACAAAATCCACGAACTTTTGGTTCACTCTAATAATAGAAAGCAATGCATATTTTATTCATAATAATTACTTTGACAGCATCCAAAAGGGTATCTACGATTGCTGACATCATAGTTTTGAAAGGTACCAAAAGTGCGTTTAACCATGGTGGTCTCGATTGATTCCAAACCTTTGAATTAAAAAGAAAGAAAGAGAAGAAAAGGAAAGGAAAAAAAAGGAATATGAAATTAAACGGTAATCAGAAAATAATTCCGGAGGTCGTTATCTTTGATGAATACCTGCTGCCTATCGAGATAATTCGCCCAATTAGGATCCTGTTTCAAAGCTGGTATAATTACATCTTCGGGTTTATTAACGCTAACGGCAAGAATATATGTCAAACTGAAAAGTCCTAAATTCGCTGATATCTTTGATAATTTTTTACAACTCGACTCGCTGCACAAAAATCCACCGCAATTTGTCTTGATTTTTTCGTTTTTATTATTTCCTTCTTTGTTGTTAGTTGATTTCTCTTTCGTTATTGTTAAATTATCTTCTTCGGAAGTAAAACCGATGCATTTACGTACCAACGTATTTAACAATAATTTTGCTACCACGTTATTGTTCATTGACATCACCTAATTGGGAAAAGATTCGATGGTTGATTAAATTCAAAGATTATTTTTTTTAAATAACAATGAAGATTCGTTAATTACTTTCATTAATTGTGACCAATTGGGTTGTGGTTGATTTCTAAGAATATTCAATTCCAAAATCACGATTTTATCTTCTGACAATTCTTTTATGTGTACATCTAAATCGGATGTACCCAATAAACGTGGAATGCATACAAGTACCCATGGAGAAGGACCACGTCGTGGTTGCAAAACTTGTAAATTTTCCAATCCATTACGAAAAACCTTAGGAATTTAGGAAAAACCTTAGAAACTTATAGGGAATTCGATCGACAAGAAATTGTTTCTATTTATTATTATAAACTTTTCAAACCCACTCGTGTATATCATCGATCAAAAATTAATAAGTATACGTGACAAATATTATTAAATATTTATTATTAAACGTGTTAACATTGTTCGTAATTATTATTGAAATTCTTCATAAATTTCAACTCTATTATTTTTTTCAACATTTTCGAGATTAATTATTTTTTACGTAAATGGAATATTTATGAAGAACGCTTCTTATTCAGGATAAAAAAATATAATTAAAGTCGGATAATATTTTACCTGATACAAATCTTCCAATGGTGTACCTCGAAATAAAAGGCAAACGAATAACTCGTTACATTTGGCATGAACATCTCTTATAATTGTTGGTAATTTATTAGATCGGGCACCTATCATCTCTTCACTTTCTGTGCAGGCAGCTAAACTGAGATATCCGGTGCAACATAGCACGTTGAAAGCGTCTGTCCAAAATTGTTCGGATCGAGCTAAAGTAGGTCGACCCTAAAATATAAGCAGGATTGCATGTTAAAATGAAAAACTTATTATTACTCCAATAGTTCGAATTCTATTTCTTTTTTCTTTCTTTTTAAGTCTTACATAAATGAATCGAGTTACGATGATTGACAGAGACTCGTTTAACATCCCCGTGAATACGCGTTGAGCCATTTGCGGTGGTACGGTTTCCCACAAATCTGCTTTTGTTCCTAAACAATTTGATTTTATACTTAAATGACATTTTCTTTCTTTTTCTTTTTTTTAATGTTTATTTTACTTTTTACCTTGCATGTAAAGCCACCACATTTGTATTACAAATGAACATCTTTCTCTTTCGAAGAATGACTTATTACTATTCCAACCAAGAGAATCAGCTTCATTGAGTAGGTATAAAGAGATTAAACGACAATGTAAATCAAGAAGCCTCTCTGCTACAGCTTCCGCCATTTCGTGATAGGATTTGTAACAATTATTTATTTTTTCGCTTGGTGTATGATAAAACAAAAGGAAAAAAAAAAAAAGAAAAGCATAAGGAAGGTATTAAACCGTCGTATCTAAAGTATTAAAATAAAAAGGTACGAAGATTATATATGGCGAGTACCTTGAACCTGCAGAGACAATATTTTTGACATGTTGATTGTAACACCAAAGACAATTTCGTATCAATGCTGCGGCTCCTAAAGTAGCCGTAAGAACAGTCAAATCTGCATGATCTAAACATTCCTGTATTAACGTATGCAAGTGTTCTGAAAAATATTGTATAATGTAAAAAAGATTGTTGTTACATTTGTTAGATCGAATTAATTTTATTCGAGATAATGATATATACGTTGAACGATCATTTTTATAAAAAACACGAATTATTTATAATAAAATATAATGAATGTATTCGACACAAAATAATGTCTAAATGTAAAATAAATAAATATTACGTATACCGAGTAATTGATCGGCCGTGTCGACGACCATAAGTATAAATTCAGATGGTTGAACGTTTTTAACGACACCATCGTTTGCCTCGAGTTCGGTTGAATTTTTGCATTTAACGGTACTTAATCCTGAAGACCGTTTAAACGTGATCAGAAATTCAGCTTCCCACCACATAACGATCTTAATTGCTGCGAATGAAGCATGCCTTGGAAAATCAAGCTTTCCACCGCTAACCCGAACACACAAAGCTTCTTTTAGCACGGTCTGCATCTCCTAAACATGTGTATTTGCATTTGCATTTAAATTTCATCGTGAAAACAAATCTTATTTCTTTATTTTTCTTTTTCTTTTTTTTTTTTAACGTCAGAATTTTAATATCATTTATTTGGATCAAATTATGTAAAAATCAAGCAATCCACGAACTAATACAAATTAATTCAACACTTTAAAGTTCCTGTAATTGTGTGATCATTATTTTGAATAAAATTTAAAGCTCATAATTATTATTTGCTCGATCATTAATTAATATCCACATTTTCTATGCATAACTTGGCTCAATTATATATTATTTTGTGTTACGTTTGTTTACCGTAGCATTCATAAAGCCATCTAAACGATCGATCGTTTTACTTTAGCATATGTTAACAATAAAAAATTAAATGATTTAGTTGTGAACATAAACGAGATATGAACTAGGAGAAGGTAAGGGTAGCTTATTTAAACATACGATGGCAAGCGTGCTGATTTAATTACACGCTCTACGTTCGAATGCACTGCCTTTGTTAAAGACGGCATAGGGGTTGTTTGGACACGAAAATGCATATATTATATTCAACGTACAAGCCGAAACAACTTTTGTACGATAAAGCTTTGGCCAAAATATACGTGATATCCTGTTTTACGATCAATAATTTATAATCTATTAAATCCAACTTCTTTTTTTTTTTTTTTTTACATGGTAACTAGAATTAAATTCAGTACTTTATTCTCACTTTTCGCATGGTTTTTAAACGTGTAAAAACAAAACCAGTTGGATGTATAATATTGTAGAGTATTTTTTTTTTTATATTAAAAATTTCAGCATTATTTATTGGTTAAAGAAAATAAAAATATTAAGCCCGTCTTCGAAAAGTTTTGTCACGTTGAATACAATTATTCCGCATGCAACGCCTACGAAAATGAACGAGTTCGTTAAGCATTAACCGCACGTATTTGAAATTATTTAATTTTCAATAATAAGCATTAATTTGAATTTCGTTGTAATTCGTGGAAGTAATGTTTGCCAAATGATAATGGTGCGATTTAAATGATGCTAGCAGATTAAATTTAAAAGGACTAATAATAAATGATAAATGCGTACCACATATTTCGTTAATTACCATAAATGTGATTTATCTAAATAAGACATGAAAATAATGATCTATTATTGATTCGTTTTAATCATTACCTGATAATATTGCATGTCCCGTTGCAATAAAATTCTAACACGATCTACTAAGCTCCCATCTTCCATAATCTCCATGGCTGTTATCTATCAGAAAATCAAATCTTTTTTTATCGGAAAATACATTCCAAAAAATCGATTTATTAATAATATATTATTATATTTACATTTCCAATAAATAAAAAGTATACAACTTTATATCAGATCTTGTAAGTAAATTATATTTGCGTTTTTATAGTAAAAAATCGGTGAATTATTATTATTTAAAATTATACTATGCAATAAATAACTAAAAAATACGGAACAGAATTACAATATCTTTTTAAAGTACTTACATTTAGATTTGTTTTATATGTTCATCAAATTATCTAAAATATGATTTAAATATATTTATAATATGTATTCATATTATTCTAAATATATGCATCTATTGGATAAATCTGCAAACCATTTTATACGTATATAAATTATTTTTTAACCCTTTAGCGAGTATTGTTCCATACAAATTTGTATGGATGACCCATACATGGGTCATTAGTAATGAAAGGGTTAAAATTGGCAGTTTTATGCATTTAAGTACATAAAAATATTTCAATTTACTGATATAATTATACTATTCTTTACCACTGTAAAAACATTTGTCAAAAGATACTTCCTTTTTTACAATAACTGATATTTCATTATTTAAGAGCTCGTGTAAAGTTTTCTCATCGTATTTATAGACCCATTTACCCTTTACAAAATCATAACGTTTTGGTCCAGACGTTGGGGAAGAAAGCCAAATTTGCCTGTTTGGAGTCTGCCTATTTATAACGTATGTGCCATATGGATTGCCAAATTTCACGGTCAGTACTCCGTCCTAAATTAAAAATTTTCAATAATAAAAATAACAACAAGAAATATATTTTTGCACCAATTTCACATTTTCTCTTAATATGATTTACAGTGGGGGACAAAAGTATTCGTACAGTAAGTATGTAAAAAGAAAAATATTTGTATTTTCTATATTATTAATTGTAATACAATATATATGTGTGCATGTTATGCACTAAAATTATTAGTAAGTAATATAAATAAACAAAAGTAAATTATAGTATTTTGTAACTTACAAGACTTGAATATTTGTCGAATGGTAAATTATTACATTTAGATTATTACAGATTAGGTACAGTTATTTGGCAAAAGGCAAATCCTACAAAATACTAACAATTACATTTATATTAATTACTCACGATGTACGAATACTTATGTCCCCGTGAAATTTCACCATTTGACAAATACTCAAGTCTTGTAAGTTACAAAATACTATAATTAGCTTTTGTTTATTTATATTATTTATTACTACTGTTAGTACATAACATGCGAATATATATATATTGTATTACAATTAATAATATAAAAAATACAAATCTTATTGTTTTCACATACTTAACATACGAATACTTTTGTCCCGCACTGTAACTAATATTTCTAACACATACTCCGTAAGAAACATCTGAATCTTCTAATTCTACAGCTTCTTCTATCAATTCGTCAAAATATTCAGTCAAGGATTCAAGAGTTGCATCTGAAATTTTTTCAAACTCTACAAGAGTAAGACTTTTGCTGCAAATGTATAAATGAAAAATTAATTAATATAAGATAATAGATTTTTATTAGTTTACATATAAATGTCTACTTACTCTAAGTTCATATGATCAACGTTTGAACTACAGAAAAAAAGGGGTACATGATATAACAAATTATTATTTCTATTTATGTATTTTGTAGAATATACACTACCATAACCTCTGAAATTATTTTTATAATAAACAGAAAGGTTTCGTAATAAAATGTTACACGTTATTTTCGTTGATATTTCATTTGACACTTTTGATGGTATAATAGCTCGAATCACTGTTTTAAACATGATATATTTTTATGAAATTTCGAGTATTGACCAAACAAATTAAAGTACGAAATAAACCATAGACTATAAAGGTAAGAAAGGAGACGTTTTAAAAATTCTAAGAGAACGTGGTCGATAGCAAAATTAATAATGATTTTATAGATAACTACCTATCGACAATAGGTAGGTACGGTACCTGAATAAATGAATTAAGTAATTCCAAGTGTCAACGTAGGAAAGCTGGCAAAGAACCTTAACAGGAGAAAAACGTTAATAAGTGCTCTCACTATTTGCTCAACTTTATTTTATCAAATATTTTTCATTTATCGTTAATTAGTTGAAAAAAATGTGTTATACACATGCGCAACCACAAATTAAAGGCGCAAGCACATTTGGAAAAAACTGAAAGTAAAGTTGATATACCTGCAGAGGATATATTTAAAGTTGATTTCCAAAGTAACTACCAATAGGGTAGTGAAAAGAAATAAGTTAATCGTTCATAATGTATAAACAATACGTAAATATTTTCATTTTTTCATTTTTTTCTGCAGTTGCGGTTCTATGCCAACTTTTTTATGGTGAAGTATATAGAAACTTCCAAGTCCCCTTTTTTATCTACCCAGCATCATTTTTGTTACCACTAGGGCCACCATTGGACGATAGTATGTACTTAACGCGCGATGACGGTACAATATAAAATACAATATTCTTTGATAGTATATATAGTATAGATATATTGTAAGAAAATTTAAAATAATTATATTTAATTTTTAGTGTCTAAATACGTGTGTGCCTTCAGAAATGCGTTTTTTATACACATATATTTTAAACAAAAGTAGAATAAAATCAAAACGAGTAGATGATAAATTCAACGATGATCACCTGTAACAAAAAGAAAACTATATTAATCATACAATCAAGTGATACAATAGCCTAACATACAAATCATCCAATTCGCAGATGCACTTTTCAACTGAGTTTTTTTATTTATTTTTATCAAATCTCTATATTTACCGTTGTAATGAAATTAAATTTAAACGCGTGATTTTACATTTACATAAAATATATAAGAATAAAGAAATAGGAAAAGTACAAATATTAGGTTACTATAAAAAATAATATCTATTAATTATTATGTAATACTTTTAGATGCATTATATACAAAAGAAAAATTGCAAATTTAATAAAAAACGATGAAAATGACAAATTATAAAGACGAAAAAAGAAATTACTGTAATATTTACCGAACGTTATTTAAGCTTAAAAATTTAATATTACGAAAATTTTAATATTTTTGACTCTAACTAACACATACGCATCTTTTGGACGATATAGACACGAATTTGGTGTCCCAAGGAGATGGAATGGTCCATCATCTCCAATTACAACTACAAATTAATGACGAGCAAAAAAGTAATATAATAAAATATAAACTATGACTAGAGAGCTATTCTCGAAAAGTTCTAACTTGCTGTTGAACCTTTGAAAATAACTCAGTAGTCTAGTAGTTGCCCACTTGATACCACAAATTTGTGGGGGCCTCTTCGGCATT